AAGTTACATTACAATTTCGTAAGTTACAATGTAATTTACATGAAACGTAACAAAGTAATTTATGTCATACATCCCTACCTTGAGAACACCCAAAGTCGATTTTATCGGCTAATGCCAAATCGACTACAATCACTACACCCTACCCTTTAAATTTTTGGAAGACGAACGCGTCTTCAATCATGTGACACTCGTTTTTATTTCTATGACTAGACTACTTATGACTAGACTACTTATAACTAGCCTACTTCTATAACTATACTTTGTAATGTTTATAGTTACATTATGCAAACGTCAGTGTTGTTTATGCAAACGTCAGTGTCATGTTGTGCAAAAAGCGTAATACAATGCAAAACGTCATCTCTATACTATGCAAACGTCAGCGTTATACACGAAAATAAAATTACTAAATGCCTTGCATTAAAACTATAATTAGAATAGATAACCAAGTGACAAATTTCGATGCAGTTAGTGAATAATCAATGAATGATAATTATGAAAGTAAAATAGATAATAAGAATACACATAAAAATTCAAGCAAAAAAAGAATAGTTAATTCTTTAAAATTTTTTAATTTATGAAATCTACAGATTAGTTACAAATTTGACGAAATGAGTAGTACAGGTAACCATGGCGCTTGTATTTCCACCAAAATGCAGTACACTTAATAGGTTTATGAATTTAAGTAGAGATAATCTAATCTTTTGTGAAACTTGAATAAGTCTGGTGATGACCAAAGTTTTACGTAATACGAAAAGTTCGAGACAAATCTAAAGAAACCATCAGTAAATTTTCCGGGAAGTCATTTGTAAGGAAATAACTATTAAATTTTATTACTTTTAAGCATTTTTAACGGTGACCATTCTCGTCTGACAAGACCTGTCCAAGCATTGCAGTTTGTATATTCACGTATCTATGCATAAAATAACATTACGATTTTGGAATTCAAGGATCATTTATGCGTATAAGTTTAGAATATGCAAACGTGCACATTATATTACGATTAGAATCCGGTGAAAAACTTATTCCGTTTATTGTGGATGTGAACTTATCACGTATTTCTTGCATATCGGAGCCCCTTTCTCGTACGATTTAACTTTTAAATTAGTAATAATTTATATCTATATGTATTATCATGTGACTTGTGCACGGATTGATATCGATATTGTCCTCTGTTTCGTTCCGGTCAAAATCAGTCTATTCATTTGAACGAATGCCCGTAAACAGCGTGGATAAATAAAGTAAAAATAAATAAAGTAAAAACTTCTGGTTCTAATGATATTACAATTATGATTTCGGCAATAAAATATCAATGAAAAACCAAACGAAACAATTAACTATGGATAAATAATTTATCTATCCGTCTAAATCTCTAAAACTTTGTTCGAATAACTTGACAAAAATGATTTCGATTAAACGGTTCCATCCAATCTAAATATTACGCTATTAATATTCCCGAATCAGACCAAATTACATTAAGTGTCACTTCCATTACTATTTTATCTGTCCAAATACATTAAGTGTCACTTCCATTACTATTTTATCAGCCGAAAATACATTGTCACTTTCATTACTATTTTCATATCAATATATACGTACTTACGTACGTACGTTTAGATTTATTATTTACCCGCGTTTGTTTCTATCCATAATAATAATTAAATAATAAAATACTTCCAGTTGAAAACCGGTTTTTCTCAGTTTTAAAGTTGCAAGATTATCGTTTTACTCAATTTTGTACCTACTATAATAGGTAAGATTCGAATGGTCTTTATCCCTTATTACAGTATTACTGTAATAATGCATCCAATGCAATTAGTTACTGTATTCATCTGTATATATATATATATATATATATATATACCATTTGGAAAGGGCTATTTTTCCTCCGCTAACGTAAATGAAACTAATCTGATCATTATTTTATTGAAATAGCTATTTTCATCATGGCAGATTCTCAATATGTTTTTGATACAAAGAGACCACATGTAAAAGAAAGGGCTCTCGGGATTGCCCATGAGATCCCGGAATTTTCAATTCGATATATCAAATCCCTTTTTCCTATTTTTAGTTGGATACATCATTACAATCTTACTTGGTTTGTTAGCGATTTAATAGCCGGTATAACTATTGGGTTGGTGGTAATTCCTCAAAGCATGGGTTATGCAAAGATTGCGACTTTACCCGTGGAATATGGTCTATATTCTTCCTTTGTTGGTGTCTCGATATATTGTTTCTTTGCCACCTCAAAAGATATCAGTATCGGCCCTACCGCTGTGATGTCTTTGCTTATGGGGCAAACTATAGATTCAATTCTTAAGATTAATAACAACTACGCTAATACAACAATTGCTGCTACCTTTTCCTTGTTAACTGGATTCGTCGCTCTTACCTTGGGTTTATTACGTCTTGGCTTTATTGTCGATTTCATTCCTGTTCCGGTTGTTGCCGGTTTCACTACCGGTTCCGCGATTAATATTGCTGTGGGTCAGGTAAATATTTTGTTCAAACTTGTATTATTAATGTTTAATTACGATCTTTTTTTTTTATTAAAAAAAATATATATATATGTATTTATCTTATTCTATGCGTAAAGGTTGCAAACTTGTTGGGTATATCTGGTATAGATAATAAAGAAGCTACGTATCTGGTGCTTATTAAAACCTTTGGTGCGCTAAAGCGTACGAAAGTTGATGCAGTTATAGGGCTCCTTGGTTTATTGTTTCTATATACAGTTAAATACAGTTGTTCTTTTCTTTCTCGACGTTATCCCAACAAAGAAAGGTTGTTCTTTTTCCTCGGGATTTCGCGCAACTTTGTTGTGGTTGCTTTATGCACTTTTGTCGCCTATCTGTTGAACATTGGTCAAACCACAAGTCCTATAAACATTTTGAAAAATGTGCCTTCAGGATTTGACCATATTGGCACGCCCAATCTTGAACCGGATCTCGTAAGACTTGTTTGCGGATACCTTCCCGGTATTTCGGTTGTTTTGATTCTGGAACACGTAGCCCTTGCAAGGAGTTTTGGAAGAATAAATGACTATAAAAGTGTGTTCCGATAACATTTTCATTTTTACTATCATTCATGAATTTAAAAGTTGATGTTATAAATAACAGAAATGCATGTTAACTTATCATTTTAAAAAAAAATAGTTGTTGCCAGTCAAGAACTCATTGCTATCGGTGCTACCAATGCGCTCGGTTCATTCTTTGGTGCTTATCCTGCTACTGGCTCCTTTTCACGTAGCGCTATTAATGCAAAATCTGGTGTACGAACTCCTCTTGCCGGTTTATATTCAGGTGCATTAGTAATATTGGCTCTCTTTGTTTTAACCCCTGCGTTTTATTATATCCCTAGCGCGGTGCTTAGGTAAATGATTTTTGAATATTTTGTTTGTTGATTGTTCTGATTTCTTCATTTTTAAATTTTTTTTTTTTTTTTTTTTCTTAAAGTGCTGTTATTATTCATGCTGTGCTTAATTTAATCTCTGGTCCTGATTATATAAAACAATTATGGGAAATTCAATGTAATCAAATCTACTTTATATTTACTATAAATTATTGTCATTCAATACTGACCAATTTTCTTGATGCCTATTTTTTTTTAGTTTGGGATTTAGTAGTCTTTGTTCTTGGTGTTGTTTTCAATTTCTTTTTCACTGTTGAGGTACATGTTTATCATATTATATACCAGTTTTCAAAATATTATTTATAACTTACAATTATCATTATATAATGAATTTATAGATTGGAATATACGTTTCAACTCTTGTTGCACTTGTGGTATTACTGGTTCGACTTGCACGTCCACGATTTGATGTACTTGGTCGTCTAGAAATTGCCTCATCTAATGGTGACGGTTCCAAACAATTCACTTATGTTCCATTGTGTCCATTGTTTCAAACTGCCCAAAGTCCACCTAATGGTGTTCTAATATTTCGATTTGACGAATCACTAACCTATCCTAATTCGAGTTATATTGAAGATCAAATAGTTCATCATGTTAAATCTAATACTCGTCGAGTGAACAAGATCGCTGAAAAAGTTGGTGATCGACCATGGAATGATGCTAGTGGCAATTATGAAAATAAAGCATTAGAAAATTCAAAATTACCAAAATTAAAGGCAATAGTGTTCGACTTTTCAGCGGTTAGCACAATAGATACTACTGGTGTACAGGCATTGGTAGACATTAAAAAGAATTTAAACAGATACACTGGAGATATCATAGAATACCATTTTGCAAATATTCTTAATGAAAAGATACAACGTGCATTAATAGTCGCTGGATTTGGTGGCACTGAACAACCGAAATTAGTTATTGATGTTGGGATTCACTCTACTGAAGAATCATCTGACGAAAATTCTGAACTTACTCCGACTGAGATTGATATGCCTAATGAGACCATTGTGAATACGGTTAGAAAGAAATACCTTCATTTAAGTTTGCAGGAAGCTGTTACAGCTGCTACTAATGGTGTTTGGTAGTTTATTGAATAATTACTGAAATTTTTGTCTATATATTAACATTTGTATTTAAATTTGTATGAAATAGCATGTATTGATTAACTTTATTTGTAAATAGTCTATTGATATCAAATATGTCTGAAGTTTATGATTTGTTGTGATTAAAGAAATCGTATTTTCTTTATATCAAATTATAAAATTTCAAATTATAAAATATGAGAAATCAATATAAAATGTTGTATTACAATAATGATTGAATAAATTAAATCAAATCAAAAAAGTAACCCGCTGTCATTTTCTTTTCTAAAATATAGCATTAAGAGAATCCAAATTCGATAATAATGATTTTAAACAGTAATGGTAATGAACGTGTTTCAGAGTTAGGATTAGGTTAGAGTGAAAATTACGGTATAATTTAGGCAATTATTGCAGATCAGCGTCAGCTGCAAGTGCACAACATTGTTAAGAGTTACGGGAAGTCAAAATTAATAATACTGTCAAAAGTTTTATTGAACTTTTTTATTAGAAAGCTTTAAATCTTACTAGAAACAAAAATTAACACACTATATACATTACACATGAGTGTTGCTGCAATTGCATTTAATAATTTATTATGATTAGTTACAGATTTTTATTTTGTAATACTAATCAACATACTATACATATTAACTTTATATTTTTTATATCTGAATACTATACGTAATACTAAATTCAAATTCTGATTAATTATATGAGTGCCGTCAAGGAAAAACCTCTCATCGGGCTTTCAATGTCAAGTTTGTTTACTGAGGGTGCTCTCAAGCATCTCTCTCAGTGTAATTAGCTAACTATAGAGATCGTGCACAAGTACTACGATTAATTGAAGTAAACCTTACTGTAATTTTGTCGAAGATTCATGTTGCGAAATGCGGATATTAAATTTTAGCCAATCAACACAACTCTATGATAAAAAAGATGGTCTTTTACCATCTTTTTTTTCATTGCGATAATGAACTCACTTGACAGAATAATTTATTTTTCACTAATTAAAAATTGAACTCAGACCTATTAATTTAGATGCTTGAGAACACTCTGAGTGTCGTCTAGAGAAAATCTATCATCTTATATTTTGTGGCGAGTTGTTACAAACTACGTATAATTAAAAGCCCGATAATAAAATTTCCATAAACAGCAAACTAAACATTGAAAGCCTGATGACAGGTTTTTCCTTGATTGCACCAAACTACAATAATATTATCTTTAAAAAGTAAAAAAATATAAATATGCTATTTTAGTTATATACTAGACAATCGATTTTAATTATTAACATGTTGATTTTTATTCTTTATTAATTTATATCTATATTACATATAATAAATTTTTTAACTCTTACTTTGATAATCCTGTTTTCTTTTATTAAGAATTGTAATACTGTATAATATAACCTTGTTATAAAAAAATATTTTAACAACTATAAATATTATTTTTTTATTTTTTTATTTTTTTTTAAGGTGAGGTTTTGCCTTTATCTTTATTTAATAATTTGTATTGAGAATCCACTAGGGGTTTCTCTGGT